CTGAAGCCTGTAAAACGGTTATTTACGGTTATATTTCCTTTGAGAAAAAGGATGTGAGGTTCCGGCTATTCTGTCGGGACTGAATGTCTCATTTTATCTACTTATTTATTTATGTATTCCCTCGTACATTTATTATAACGTTTATTTCAAATTATATCCTACTGGGCATTTCGCTCACGTTTTATGTTTTAAATGTACTAAACCCCTCCCAGGAGATTCTAGGAGCGGTGCACAGTAGCTGGATATTTGCTACGGAGCAGCTGAGTTGTGCTGCTGTTGGAATCAAGTGAGGATCGTGGACATCCTCTTGGACAAATGTAAGGAATTTGAGAAATTCTGTAAACTTATATAATATTTGGATTTACTAGACTGTGGTTGATATCTGTTGTAATGATTAATTACATGTTCATGTATGTACGATACTGTATGTCCTGTGGGGTGGAGCCCTGTGTGTCAGAGACTCCGGGATTCTGTAATTTATTTATATTTTAATGCAGTTAAGTGTGGGGCCCTGTCTGGGAATCTGCTTTATTAATCCCTAATCGAGCTCCACGTCACCCACCCCGTTTGGGGGGCGTGACAAGCTCAGAGCGTAAGATTTATAATAATCATTTCAATAATGTTAAGAGTTCAAATTGTCAATGTTATAATTATTCAAGAAAGCATCTTCTTCCTTTAAAAAAAAAAACAGCATTTTGATTAAATTGTTATTACTATTGTATTTAGAGATAGAGAGGCATATGGTCGTTTTTCAAGGTTTTTTTTTTGTTTTAAAAAAAATAGCTGAAGTTTTATAAATTAACAAAATGACCGTTTTTTATTAATTAAAGGGTCAATCATCGATTGACTAGCAGTTAATCACTGATTGACTTAAATTTATCATTAATTCACTTGATGATTTCTTATTATTAATCAATATTAATTAATAATTAGCTGAAATTAATTAATTTTAATCTACAAATTACATGTTAATAATAATAAATCATTGGTAACATATAATAATTAATAGATCAATCATTGATTGATTTTGATTAATCATTGACTGAGTATTAAAAAAGGAAGTTAAAAAGGAGCCGTTTACCTATCTTTTTCTCTGTTATTAAATATAAGGACTAAATTGTAAAAAGAATACTTTAAATAAAAAAAAAACTTACAATTTTCAATAAAAATATTTTATATAATAAATCAAAAAAATAGAATCAAAGAAAAAAAATCTTTACATACATAAAAGTGCTAAAAGCCGTTTTTTCTCTCGTGACTTATATCACTATAAGAAAGTTTCTCATTTTTATTAACACATGGCATCTTTTTTTTTCTTTTTTTTCTTTTTTTGTGTTTTAAAACATTTTCATTATTTAACTTTCATTTTTTTTTCTTGTCTTTTATTATTATTATTATTATTTTTATTAAACTAAACCCTTTAAGAAATAATAAGATAAAAAAATAAAACTTTTAAAAAAAATAGAAGACGTTTCGTTCATGAATTAGAATCATGAGATTATAATTATTTTTAATTTACGTGTATTTTTTGTGAGAAAAAATACTGTAATAAATCATGAATCATGATTCGAATCAGAGTACGAATCCCCTTACTAAACGTCACCTAAATCTTTAAATTGTAATACATTGAATGTACACCCTGCTTATTTATTATTTAAATCATAATTTAAATTTTTATTATAATATTTTTTTTATAAAATTTTAAATATAATTTTTTTTATTATAATATTTTTTTTCACATGAATTCATATTTTAATTCAAATTTTTAAATCCGAATGAATGAAACACGAGTCGTACATTCAGGTCCTGTTCATTTCGCTGATTCGAGTTTAGAATTCGAGTTTTGCTACAGTAAAAAGTTCTCACAAACAGTCACGTCTAATTTTTTTATTACAGTAAAAAACTCTCATATAAAATCACATTTTAACTCGAATTAAAAACTCAAATCAATAAATTAAACGGGCTCTCACGTTATGCACGTGATTTCAACTAGTAATAATAAAAGAAGAATAGTGGTTCTCTATTTTAGCTCTCTTTTTTTTTTTTTTTAAAGAGAATTTTATTTTCTTTTTGGTTCCTGAGGCTGAGAAAATCGAATTCTTTGCATCGAGAAAGAAAGAGCGTGGAAAGAGAGAAAAAATAGGCAATCAGGAAAACGCTACCTTGGTTCTGTGTTCCTTCTGAGAATCTTTCTTCTCTTTATCTCCGTAAAGAAGAAAGATCGATCGACCAAGTCAATCTCATCGCCATTAATTTGTTTCCTTGGAAGTGGATGAGCGAGTTTTAAGACCAATTATTACCAGAGAAAAGCCTCATAGTTATGGGTCAAGCTTTTCGCAAGCTTTTCGATGCCTTCTTCGGCAACACTGAGATGCGAGTATACTCTCTCTCTCTCTCTCTCTCTCTAGTTTCACGGCTTTTTTTTTTTTGGGTAACTAAGAATTGAGTATGTTTGTGTTTATGAAATTGATATCTTTGGGATTTTTATGCTTTAGTTTTTTTTTTTTGATATTTTTGGGTTTTTTATGTTTTTTTTTTTTTTTTTTTTTTTTTTTTTTTTGAGAATATGTAGATTTTCTTATGAGTGATTTTTGAGTTGAAAGTGACTTACCAAATGATTTTTTCATATCGTCGTCTCAGAAATTGGAAAATCCCGTGCTTCATTTGTTTGAAGGAATTGTAATTTCTGTTTTTGTTACTCGTGTTGTTCTTTTAGTTTTTCTTTCATATGCACATTGTTTGTAAATCGGTAGAGACGTTATGCTGTTGTTTTGGTGTCAATATCAGCAACTAGCATTCCTTTTCAGGATATTATCGAAATGGGTTTTGTTGTCCTCTTGAATCAAAATGAAATCCAGTGGTGAAGAATCCAAAACGAAAAACTGAAGTCATTCTTATGGACAAAAGAAAAAAAAAATAGAGAGTATTGACTCGAGAACAAATTCATTAGGGGCTCCATGCCTCCATTGTAGAATCCAGACCTAATCATTAATTGCGAAGCCATGGGAAAGACAAAACCCGTGATTGCATAAGATTCTATCGAGAACGAACCCTAATGGTTCGTTGGTAGGATGGTGGAAGGGACTAGGAGCCAATTCCTTTAGTATGAAAAGCCATGTCATGAATTAATCCTAAACTAAAAGTTAGAAATGTAGAATCCAAAGGCCATATAATGTTCTGAGCATTTCAAGTTCATACCTTATACACCCCGCATCTCATTCTCGGAATCTCATGTGAAAGCAAAAATGAAGGTTTAATTAATGCTTAGAAAATAAATTGCTCAGTATCCAAGTTCATGATGCTAATAAATTAGAGGGGGTGGTTTAGATGTTTTTTATTAAATGGTCGACTTTTGGGCCCTTTTCTTTGCCTTCTCTTAATTGCTAACGAGCTTCCAATAATCTCGCTTCACTCTCTGTGGTTTCCTTGATCGTACTTTTTGATTGTGTTGGCTTAGGTTGTAATGCTAGGCTTGGATGCGGCTGGTAAAACTACCATTCTATACAAGCTGCACATTGGAGAAGTTTTGTCAACTGTTCCCACAATTGGTACGTCACTTTGTTCATTATTATCGAAACCTTTTCTTTCCTTGGATGGTACAATTGGATTATTGGAATCCTATTACTCAGGACACTAGTCAAAAATACATCCGACGTTTGACCCCTTATAAGTGTTGGGATATTGGGTTTTCTATAGCCCCAAAATTCTCTCTGAAGACACTATTCTTCGTCATGCTAGGTTCCCTATACTTGCATATGGATGCCATTTCGTGGACCAAGAGTTCCTTGCTATTCTATCTAGTTTTAGGAGTACCGTACTGCTCCCTTTTTTTAAATTAAAAAAAATACTCCATTAAAATGGAAACAATTACCCTGCTGTGAATTTTGCTTTAAAGACACCTCTTTGTCTCCTTCAGGTTTCAATGTGGAGAAAGTACAGTATAAGAACGTAATATTCACAGTTTGGGATGTTGGCGGGCAAGAGAAGCTAAGGCCATTATGGAGGCATTACTTCAATAACACAGACGGACTGGTAATTTTCCTGCTTGTGTTTTCTGTATCCTTGTCAAGCGATGCTGCTCGTTGTGGAAGCCAATATAAAGAAGCATTTTTTTATTCTTATATTACTTCTTTCTTGTTTTCCCTTTCTTGTCATCAACATGCACTGTTAACCGTTAAAGGATATTTATATCTGTGTTTTATATCTTTGTCTCTGCAGATCTATGTTGTTGATTCCTTGGACCGAGAGAGAATTGGAAAAGCAAAGGCAGAATTTCAGGTTGTATATCTGGAAAGAAATACAGTTTAAAACAAGCACGTGACTATTGTTAATGTTCTCATTTAACTAGGTTTCTCTTTCAGGCTATCATCAGTGATCCATTTATGCTCAATAGTGTCATCTTGGTGTTTGCTAATAAACAGGACATGGTACGTTATGCTAGCAATTTGTTTCTTCCTTTCAAATGTGAGATTTAATCACGCCATGTTCATCCCGTGCAGTGCTTAGTTTAGCAACTTGGCAATATAGTGAGAACCTTTACATGTTTACTTGCATTGACTGTTGAAAAATTATAGCGTTTAAACTGGAAAAATCTTGCTAGTTTATTCTGTATAATGGTTTTGTGATAACTTTTCCAGTCACATACTAATACATCAACCAAGAACCAACTTAGGAAGACTGGAGAACCTCATAAACTTGTTTTGGAATTCCCTCTTTAGGGTTTATATTTGCCTTGGTAGTGAAGGTTTTCATGCTAAACCAACTTAATTTGCAAAATGTTTTGTTACCCCCTTATAAAACTCACTTTTCTTTTTCCCCCCTCTTTCTGGAATAAAGAAAGGAGCAATGACACCAAAGGAAGTGTGTGAAGGACTGGGTCTCTTTGATCTTAAGAATAGGAAATGGCACATACAAGGGGCTTGTGCACTTCGTGGAGACGGCCTTTATGAGGGTTTGGATTGGTTGGCTGGGACACTCAAAGAGATGCGAGCTGCTGGGTACTCTTCAGTTGGCACCTCGTCATTCTAATTTGAAGGTTAATATTCTCTACCTACTTGCTTAACACCCAAATCAAAGTGACTTATTTACTATCCCTGCATTTCGAGTTATAAAAGTATACCCTGAATTTTGGACGTGCTCAGGAGGCTCTAAGTTTTGCGAAAATTGTGATTCTGACAAAATTTCTTCTGCAGGTTTGGTTGGAGTAAAGGAGTTCTTCAATTGTCAAAAGCCACAGAATTGACCTTTTGCGTGTTGAGGAGCAATGAACTGAAATTTTTTGGATTGTTTCCGAAGCTAATGATGTTCAATAGGTGCTTTTTCCTCGGCCTTGATGGCACTCAAAAAGTTGTAACTTCCTCCAATGTATATTAAAGATTATCCAGGGTGTGCCATTGATTAAAATAGACCTGGATTCTAGCTTTCTGTATGCTTTTGATCTCCTGTTTAACCCACTCTGCATATATTCTTATATCTTGTAGACCGAGGATTGATAATAGTTATAAGATATTGCATATTTCTCTCTTTCACTTATGCACACGAACCAACTCTAGGTGAAATTTTATTTGCAATTAGGTTTTCCTACCCGAGCTACGGCCTCTTGGTGGGTGTAAACATATGTATTGGGGATCATTTAGTGCTTATATAAACATTATTCTTAATCAAGAAGAGTAATTCTAGAAGATCAAAGTCTTGGAGATTTTAGATATCGTCAATGGGTCGATCGCAATGGCTTTCGTACACAAACGTTGATTCGAGAGTTATTGTTTTCGCGCTAGGAGATTTCACTACGAATTCGATGTGTTTGCTGTGGGATTAAGAAGCTGTTTAGTCTCGGATACGTGCGCGTAGGAGGGTGAGGGATAGAGATCTTCCCCTGGTTCCGTCATTCTCTGAATACTTGTACAAACTAGGAAGTACATGCAAGAACTTGGGTTGCAACTCTTTTAATATCAAGAGTTTCTAATAATTTTGGATACATGAGCCCCTTTGTTAGATTTAGTTGGAGATTTTCATGGCTTTATTAGTTGGTCTTTGACGGTATACATTCTTTCATGGATTTTTGCTTTACACACAACAAAACAAGCGACACAGGCGTTACAAATTTTATTTATTTTAATTATTAGATATCTAATTATTAAGAAGCACTCACGTCGAACATGCTCTCGTAGCTCAGTTGGTTAGAGCACCCGTTTAGTAAGCGGGAGGTCTTGAGTTCGACTCTCAACGAGAGCAGATCTTTACTAATTTATTCTTTTGCCTCGCCATTGGTAATGGTTTACTCATTTATTTTATTTTTTCCCGGGAAAATCTATCCTCTTACCGTTAATTTGCTTCTCTTCCTCATCGGGAAAAGATCTAATCGAACGGCCAGATGCTGTTCCACACTTTCTCTCTCTCCAAACAGAAACCAGAAAGACATCCGTGGATGGATTCCCAGCCATAACTTCCCCGGACCCCACACAGACACTCTCACTCCCTTTACCTATATTATATATATAATTCTCTTATATTATTGATTTTCATTTTTTCTCCATTTCCATTTCTAGAGAGATAAAGAAGATAGAGAGTCGTCGGAGTTCACACACAGACGATGCACTCATGCCAAAGCCCTGCAAACGCAATAATGTTGGCCTGCAGATTCCACCGCCGCAGCTCCGTCAGGATCCGGTGCCTCATCGACCAGATAATCGCCCCAAAATTCGCCGTCTCCTCCTCCCTCAGCTCCGTCTTCACCTCCGCCAACGCCATCGCCGCCGCCGCCGCCGCCGCCGGCTCCACCTCCCTCCACGGTGCCGTCACTTCCACCATCACTCAAGTTGCCGTCACCGCCGTCGCCATCGCCTCCGGTGCCTGCCTCTCCACCAAAGTCGATTTCTTGTGGCCTAAGCTCGAAGAGCAACCAGGTCTGAAATTTGCTCCTTTCTCTCTCTTCAATTTCGTTTCCAGAAAATCTTGTTTGATCCCGTTCGCTTTGAAAGAGTGAAAAAAATTAACAAAAATTCTTTATAATTCTGTTTTCGTTTCTTTCGAACGATCGAACAACAATTTCGTTTGGCAATTCCTTGTTTAGTTAAATTCTGGCCGTTCTTCTGACAGGAGAGAGTGAGAGAGAAGCGGAGAGAAATTAGAACAAAGGAAATATATTTTTTTCAATTCTGATTACGTCTTGATAAAATCTACAGGTTCTCTAGTTCTGGAAGGAGTAGATGTAACTGGATATCCTATTTTCAGCGATCCGAAGGTATACTATCGACATAATCAGCGTCTACGGCTTTGCTTGAACATCAGCAATCTTTTTTTTTTTTTGGTTTTTTTTTTAAATGAAAATGAAGATTGGTAATCAATCTGATGCATCTGGAATTGCTCCCATTTGTGAAGGCAGGTGCAAAAGGCAATTTCTTTTGCTAAAAAGGCTCACCATGGGCAAGTACGCAAAACAGGAGACCCTTATTTGACGCATTGTATACATACTGGAAGAATCTTGGCCATGTTGGTTCCTTCAAGTGGGAAACGGGTATGACTCTTTCTCATTACTTGTAGTGCTTTGAAGACACCTTTACTAGTTTTTAAAAGAAAGGAAAGGAATAAGCTAGTGTTTATTACCTATTAGGAAGTGAAATTGGATACAATCCAATTCCACTTTCTAGTGTTTACTAACTTTGAGAATATGAATTCTAAGAGTTAAGTACTAAAATTTCCTCACGCATAAAATTCCCTTATACATTTTTCTCTGTCAACGGTATATCTGGACTATCAAAAAGACTAAACCATCCTCAAGAGAGAAAAAAAAAATCTAGAAAAATAGAACTAAGGTATATGCTTGTTTTAGTAGGCATTTTCTTTTTACTTGGTATTTTGGTTATTTCCTAGTCAAATAGCATGTTAATCGATAAATGAGAGCTGATGCCATACATTTGCTACAATTAAATGATATACTTTCTGAATGCATGGTACAAAAAACTTGACGAGAAATTTATTTCAAAGGAGGGATTTGAACTCCACACTTTGTGGTGGAGTTAGGTGTGGAATTATGACTAGGCTATACCTGCAACCAATGATATACTTCTCTTTCTCTCTCTCCTTTTTTTTCAAAAAAAAAAATAATAATAATGATAATAATTCAAAGGGAAACAAAATTGGGGTAACATAGAATTGACTTTTCCTTTCCTCATTTCCTACATCACGCCGTAGCTTTCCTGATTCTGTGGGTAGACACATTAATAGGTCAGGAAGGGAAACAGTCCTCCCTTACCATTTGCACATGTCTTTAGTTTGTTGTTGTTTAGCATTTTTTGACGTAGAAATGTGCTTTCAAGAAATTTGCATGCAGTCTTAGGATATGAGTCATATTTATTGCTTAAAAGCAGATTATAATTGCACTTGTTAAGAGATAAGAATCAAGTCCTTCATTAACCCAAGAGTCTTCTACAGGCTGTTGAAACAGTTGTGGCTGGAATTCTCCATGATGTTTTTGATGATACAAGTGAAAGTTTGCAGAGTGTAGAAGAGCAGTTTGGTGATGATGTGGCTAGGTTGGTAGCTGGTGTTTCCAGGTTGAGTTATATTAATCAGGTATCTCAATTGGCTTATGAGGGTATAATAGTTATAATTGTTATGTCGCTTTGGCTGTTTTTCGCAGTTTAAGATTATATTTAGCCCAAGTTAAGAAAGTTGAACATTTGGTTTTGTATGAAACTTAACCGAAAATATGGAAATATTTTGCCATTTTCACCTTGTAAGGTCTCAGAAGCTTAAAAATAGTTATTCTTGGATATAACCATGCCTTTTGCGGAAATGATTCCATGTCTAACCTGGTACTGCTGAAAAGTAAGGAGATCATATCAAATTTGCTGTTTTCTATTTCTTAAGCAGTTCAAAGAAACATCAAGGTTTGCTCTCCCAAAACGTTGCTTTTGTGCAATTTTTGAAGCAGAGAAAACATTTCTAGTCTCTTAGAATCTGGCCTTATTTTACTAAATGGGTGAGAAGCTGAAACCGTTAGTATCAGAGATGAAAAAGAACAGTGTCTAACTTGAAGGTTTAAGAAAACTATTACCTGATTGCGGCTTCCATAACTTTTGTTTTTAACATACAAGTTCTAATTTGTTATGCAGCTCTTACGAAGACATCGGAGAATAAATGTGGATTCGGGTACCCTTCGGCATGAAGAGGTATACAACTTAGACCCCACGTTTTGATAACGATTGTCCATAATATGGGTGGTAAAACCGAGATTTTAGCAATGAATTGGAATCACCAATCACAGCGGATGATAAACACGAAAATAAATTTTAGATAATTCTATGATCCTATATCTTTTCAAGTTTGATGTATGAGCCATTATAATGATGTAAGAAATATTAAGTAATCTTAAATCTCAATCAGTCCAGTGAATTCAATTCATGATCTAAGACAAGTAGTATCAGGCAGTATCAATGTTCCGCAGCAATTTTATTCAGTCCCTGAGAATTACTAAGTGTGCATGTACTCATTTAATAGTAATCTTCCATAGAGGATGGTGGAGGGGAATTTCTTTGTATCTAATGCATTTGACTGTAGCACAATGAACAAAGCTAATAACGGCGTAAGGAGATGAATGAAAATTAATGTTATTAACTTTTTTGTTAAACATGACCGTATAAGCACCATAGATTAGCTGCTCCATTATTCTGCATCTCATTCTTGCTTTATTTACATTCCAGGCAAATAATTTACGAGTTATGCTCTTGGGAATGGTTGATGATCCACGTGTTGTTCTTATCAAGCTTGCTGATCGTCTTCACAATATGAGAACCATGTATTGATTCTGAACTTCATGTGTGTGTGTGTGTGCGTGCGCGCGCGTGTGTGTACTATAGTTTTTTTTTCCTGTTCTTTTTTTTTTCCCCACAACTTTTATGCAATCATAGTTCATAGTTCTTAAAGGCAATATGTCGGTTTTTGCCTTAGTCCCTCAATGTGGAATGATGATAACAATGGTATTATTGTCTTTCTATCTTTGCCTCTTTTTCAAGTTTTTTTTCTAATTAATTTCTTGTTGGCTGTTTAATTACAAAAAAGGAAAAAAGTAAGGAGATTATTGTCGCGGTTTGTTTTTCTTATTGTACAACAAAATTTGTGGCTCAAAATGGTAGCAATTAGTCACACTCTAGAGGAAAATGTTTTACAGTTATGCCCTGCCATTGCCAAAAGCGCAAGCTGTTGCAATGGAGACCCTTGCTGTTTGGTGTTCCCTTGCTTCCAGATTGGGTTTATGGGCATTGAAAGCTGAACTGGAAGATCTGTGCTTTGCTGTTCTTCAGGTTGCTTATATCTCTTTAGTTGTCATGGACTTGTTTAGCTCCTTGTTTCATGCCCTTGTCATTTGAGCATCTGCTGATTCACTTATTATTATGTCTTTTACACCTCGTGTGCAGCCTCAAATGTTTCAGAGAATGAGAGCTGATCTGGCTTCTATGTGGAGCCCTAGCAGCAAATCAGGAAACACAAAAAGAATGTGTGAAAAATCCAGCACGCAGACCTTGGATAAAAAAGGCTTTGTTTGCGATTATGAGGGGTCCGTGGCAATTGATGAAGATGTCACAAGCATGAAAGTAAGCTCTTTGCTGAGATCAATTGTTAAAAGTTACAGTTACAATTTATTGGGGCAAAGTCCTATGGGGAACAGTGAATGATTGTAGAAATTGATACGAAACTAAGAGATTGAAGATTAGATTTCTATATATTATATTAGTAGGCAGGCGGCTTATTTATTTTTATTCTCTTTTCTTCCCAGGATCTTTTGAAAGCTGTATTGCCGTTTGATGTCTTGTTGGATCGAAGAAAGCGCTCCAGATATCTTAGTACTCTAGGGAAAAGTTTGCAGAACCAGACAACCCCGAAGGTTGTGCGGGACACTGGAATTGCTTTAGCATCTCTGGTGGTCTGCGAGGAAGCACTTGAACGAGAGTTAATAATTTCAACTTCGTATGTGTTGCCTTCATATCTCCCCTTTCGCCTTGCTAACTGGATATGATTACATATACTCTATATTCTGTAATTTAACATTTTCATCTAGTGCACTGATTATGACGAAACAAAAAAGTAAAGACCATTGCTAAAACGTTCTCTTTGTTCATGCTTGCAGTTATGTTCCAGGCATGGAGGTGACTCTGTCCAGCCGTCTAAAAAGTTTGTATAGCATCTATAGTAAGGTAATTAATGGAGTCAGTGTTAATTGCATCAGAAATAGGTAGAAATGCAATGCTTTTAAAGTTCGAATAGCATCTTTGTTAAAGTTTGAATATTTGCAACCTTGAATTACTTGAAACATTAGCAACCTTGAATTACTTGAAACATTAGCATTTACCATTTGAATATTGTCTTTAAGTTATCATTATTTTCTGTGTTTTAATATCAGTCATGTCGGTCTTCTTTTTTTTTTTTTTTTTTTTTTTTTTTGGTTTTAATTTTACATCTTTATCTCTTTCTGTAGATGAAAAGAAAGGATGTCGACATTACTAAAGTGTATGATGCCCGTGCGTTAAGGGTAGTTGTTGGAGACAAAGTTTCAAATTTTACATCTTTATCTCTTTCTGTAGATGAAAAGAAAGGATGTCGACATTACTAAAGTGTATGATGCCCGTGCGTTAAGGGTAGTTGTTGGAGACAAGAATGGAACTCTTCATGGACCTGCTGTTCAATGTTGTTACAGTCTTCTCAACATTGTACACAAGTAAACCAAAATGAACTTATCTTATTTTCACATTGTTTTTGTAAAAAATCTTTTCACATTGCACGCTAGCAAATAAATATTTTGGAATCTGTGAAACATCACTCCGACAATGCCATGAGTTTCTATGCCTCTATGAATAATGACCTGCTCAATTTCAGATGTTCAGTAGAATTACCTATTCAAAGACCTTTTTCAGAGGCCGTGCATCTTCGTCAATTTTTTTCAAAGTAGAAAGCTGGATATATTCATTTCATTTGCACATCATTTATGGCCCAGTCATGATAATGGCCGTCATTCTTCTATGTGTAGACTTTGGACCCCAATTGATGGTGAGTTTGACGATTACATCATCAATCCAAAGCCTAGTGGCTATCAGGTTAGATGATCTCTCATTGTTTCACTATAAAGTAGAAGTTTCTCAAGTCATCATCTTCTTATGCACATTTGCGAGTAAATTACATAGATACCTAGTATAATCTACCCTTACATTCAAATCTCTATTTGTAGTCTCTGCACACTGCAGTACAAGGTCCCGACAGATCGCCTTTGGAAGTTCAAATACGAACACAGGTTCTAAACCTCTTCTAGCTATAAAAAGTCAGCATTTACTTCCTAGTATTTTTGACTCTGCTATTATCAGTGACTGTCTTTTCCAGAGGATGCATGAGTATGCTGAACATGGACTAGCGGCACATTGGCTTTATAAAGAAACTGGAAACCCGTTATCTTCTATAGCCAGCACAGACGAACTTGAAGTAGAAACTTCGTATTTTTCCAAAGACATGGTGGAACAAACTTCCATAGAATGTGATTTGTTTGAGAAGTATAGTTTGTTGAAAATTGGACATCCAGTTCTTAGAGTTGATGAAAGCCACCTTCTTGCTGCTGTCATTATTAGGTATATAACTACTTCATGTCTGGTGAATATGATTCCCATTATAAGGTTATCAATCTCTAACATGTCCTTCGAATCTGCAGAGTAGACAACGGTGGAAGGGAATTGCTTGTTGCTGTGAGCTTTGGACTAACAGCTTCTGAAGCAGTAGCTGATAGAAGATCTTCCTCCCAAATGAAGCGGTGGGAAGCTCATGCAAGATTATATAAAAAGGTTGGTTCTGATTTTATTTGAAACGTATTAATTGTAAAATGTAATTTATTGGTGACCTTATCTAGAGATAGAGGTCTTGCATTTCAAAAGCATTTACCGAACTATGTTTACATAATTTGCTGCACTCAGCATTTATTGAAGTATATGAATCGGAAATCCAAGAGAGTTGAGGTGAAAATATACGACTGCGTGGAAGTACCTTTACTCAAAGATAGCTGAATGGATATTGCAACATAGATAGTTTCTAAAATTGTATCCGGTTACAGCTGGGTGATTCATCATTTATGCTTTTTTTCCCCCTATTAATGGCTTTCCAGGTTTCCGACGAGTGGTGGTGCGAACCAGGACATGGGGATTGGTGTACTTGCCTGGAGAAGTATACACTTTCTCGAGATGGTATTTACCACAAGGTGTGTTTAGTATCTACTTAAAAAATAAATAAAATAAATAAAAAAAGAGAGAGAGAGAGATGACATTCTTTCTGGTAGATATGCAAGGCGGTAATGGTTTGTCCCAAGTAGGTCGATCATTTACTGTAGAGTTGCTATTTACCACAATTGGTGATGCAATTGCCGTGGCAACATGTTAGAACTTCCACATGGCAGGGACATGACCCAACGGTCACACTTTGTCATTCGACTCTTCTATTGTGTTACCAGGCGTGTGTAATGCATCACCGGTATTAATAAATAGCAGTAGTTTATTGTATTGATGTTGATGTTAACATAATGATCAAAATTTTATTGAACTTCCAGGAAGAATGTGATTAAATTTCTTTTTTACTTGCAGCAAGATCAATTTGGTCGCTTACTGCCGACCTTCATTCAGGTCATTGATTTGACAGAACAAGAAGAAACAGATTATTGGACAGTTGTATCTGCTGTTTTTGATGGTAAACAGCTTGATGATTGTACTTCAGGGCCAAGCTTTAACTCAGTTACATGGGGTTCCATGGAGAGTAGCATCAATAACAAGGTTTGCCTAAGATCCTTACTATTCTAAATCGAGAGAGAATGGGGTTCAATTCTACGCTTCAGTGACCAAATTCACACATATAATGACGCAGAATCGAGAGAGTAAAGAGTAAAATTAAGGAAGAGAAATAGAAACAAGAGAGATTAGAGATATAAAGGGAGAGGAGAGAATTCTGGAGAGAAAATGAGAACTCAAGAAACAAATCATACAATGATCGGGCCTATTTATAGAGAAACTAAACATAAAACAAAGATAAACACATCCTTATAGTTAGGCAAATTAAAATAGTCGTAGAAGATTAACATAATCTAAAATTCCTTATTATCTACATCTTGTTCCTCATCACTAATGCTGAGCTTTCAATTTGTAGGTGCGTTTATTAAGGACAATGCTGAGGTGGGAAGAGCAACTACACTCGGAAGCAAGTCTGAGACATGAAAGGCAGAGCAGAAAGGTTTATGGCTCGGTAGTTCTCGGGGAAGTAGTCATTGTCTGTTGGCCGCATGGCGAGATAATGAGGTTGAGAACTGGTAGCACCGCTGCGGATGCTGCTAGAAGAGCGGGGCTTGAGGGAAAGCTGGTTTTGGTTAACGGTCAGCTGGTGTTGCCCAACACGAAGCTCAAAGATGGTGACGTGGTCGAAGTCAGACATTGATAATATAACTAAATTTCTGGTAAGAGGAAAATTTGTAAAATGCTTGTGAATGCCAGTGGGGGAAGCTAATGTATGTTACAATTCTAAAGACGTAGGGCCTCTGTATTATACGATTCTTTTTGTTCTGTATTTTCTCCCCTAGTGTAAATGGGTGGGCTCTACATGGACATTACAGTGCTTGATTTTAACTGGTGACTGTATAGAAAAGATAGTTAAATGTACATATGGAACAATTTCATAGCAAAAAATAGAATGAAAATTCTTTCATAAATGTAGACTCAAGATTCTTTGTTGGTTTGTTACATGGTTAACATTATTCAAGGAGCAATGCTATAATATCACCACCTATGAACTACATTATATCACCATCTTAACACAATTTAATTTATGCTCGTTTCCAATGTTCTTAAACTACCTTTTTTGCGCCCACAATGATCACAAAGGAGTAAAGAACTCATCAATATTAATAATGTAAAATCCCACGATGAACACTGTGCAAAATAATTTTGTCAAAATGAACAAAGGTAAACACTTAAAAAGCTTAGGATGCCAAAGTGAGCCTCGGTTAAAAACCGAATTGTACAAGCAGCAACAGATGATCCAAGCAAAATTATCAGTATCAGTTTTGCCATCCTAGGACCTAAACTTCCTTCATAGCTCAGCGAACTTTATGGTTTCCCAAGCCAACCATCACAATCCAATGGGGCTTAACCAAATCACATTTGCTCATATCGAACTCCAGACTTTCACGTCCTTCCGGTGAAAAGCAAACGGAATGCTGAGCTCTGTAGAATTAAATCAAATTCTTAGAAAGCTACGAATTTCTAGCAGTTGTTGGTTGGTGTTGCACTCGTTTCGGAAGGTCCAGGTACAACTATATCCTCCAAAGCTTCCATGTCAATGGTCATGTTATCGTTAATATCAGCCTCTTCAACCTCAACCATTACTTCGTCCTTATCACCCACCGCATGTTCTATCCCATTTTCCACAGAATCAGACTGCTGCTTCAGTTCTTCACTTGCTCCATCAGGCTCATTTGGCTCTATTGTTGAGTGCGGATAAGGATCGGTGGAGATGGTCAACATAGACGTCACTAATAAATTCTACAAACAAGGAAATGGTGAGCTGTCAAGTCCATAGAACTTCTCAAGAACATAGCATCAATAAGTGTTGCATATGGAAATTGCGAGCTGTTAAGTCCATTAAAACTTATCAAGCAAATAGCATCAACGAGTATAACATATCATCAAATAATGCAATGTCCAAGATATACGGCCAAAGAGGACTTTTTGACTAACATACCTTTTCAAGTGCTAGTGCAAGCTTTAATAGATTTGGGTAAATTGCCCGTGCATCCAAAAGGATCTGTTCAGGATAAATTGAAAATAAGTTATCTCAAATACTTATGGCACTGTTTTTAATTTGGAAAAAAAAAAAAAAGGGGGATCGAAAAGCCAAAAATGATAGGTGAAGATCACGGTCCAGAAAGATGAATGGTTCAGCCATAGCAATGAATAGCTCTACCAATTAATGAAAAATGCCAGCTTAAAGAAAAGCATAAAAAATATAATGCCGCAATGCAGGTAACTGGGTATTGACTGGGATATAAAGAACAAAGAATAATATGAAGCAATTACCTCACACAACCTTTGAAGAGTAAATGGAGGACCTTGATCAAAACTATGAAGAGCTGGAAACACAGAAAACATACAGTTGATAGTCTTGTAAAGGGAAGAAAAGAAAATAGAATATTAGATATTCTTAAACCTAGACTAGTAAATCTATATGATTTTCACATTGCAGAGTAGCATTCAGCATCTCTCATTCTCCCACTTCTCTTAATTGTTAAACCTTCAATCAGATACAGTGGACCATTAATTTGCCTAAAAGTTAATACAGATGGTGCGAGTTATTGGAGGGATATCATGATCCACCGGTTGTGTGGCCAACATCACCCTTAATCTCATGTTAGTTAGTTCATATATTTCAAGCTACAGAGTCAGTCAGAAAAAGACATCCAAGATAACCCAGTAAAATAAACATCGGGGCAATACCTTCTTCCAACCTTTTCGCCAGCTCTGTAAAGGTTTCTCCTAAAGAAGCATTTTGCTGCTCACTTGTCATTTTTGTCTCAGGATACTCTGACAAAACCTTCATAAATCAGAGACAAAGAGAAGAAGAAATGTAAAGAAATTATTATTTTGACCGGAGAGAGACAAAAATCACACATCGATTGCAAACAATTACACTTTCCATGAAAGTTGCAAATTCATAGGCCCACATGCTGGCATACCTCCCCATACCTGCTTCAGCTGAAAGGATAAGATGGCCTTTAACTTGTCCCACTCATGCCTACAGAACAAATACATAACATGAAGAGACTATAAACACAAATCCTGTCTTCCAATTTCCGAATATGTCTATTTGATATAATTGGCTAAATTGGACCTAGATTTTGTTTCTACAACTACTTATCCTAAAGTAAGAGTAACTATATCCATATCTTGTATAACACGTGGCTGTGCTTAAGAACAAACAGTATCTAACAGCGTCCTATTGGAGGAAGGAATATAAAAGCCACACCAAATTTCTAGGTTTTCTTCTCTTAACTCACAAAAGATGATATTGGACACCCACTGCCAAAATTCAATATTAAAACTCGCAACAAAAACACTACATACTGAACAAAAATGAGGAAGTTTCCAGCGGAAATGATAACATACCAAAACTTCCCAGTGGATGCAATAACTTCGAGTATACCTCTAGCTTCTTTTTCAGCAATCTCATATTTCGGCTCCGCACCACTAAATCACAAGAAAAAAACTTTCACTATTATGAAATTTTGAAAAGAAAATAATACATATATGCATACATAGATATAATCTCTAATCATGAATCAGAGAAACTACCCAAAAATCAAAAAGAAAGAGGGAGGGGGTTGTAGATCTCATTGTTAACTGTGAATGCAAAGCAAATCTTCTAGTAATCCAATATTGGAGATGAGCACAAGAACGCGTAGATTATGACAACACACCAAGCATTGGTTGGATTATAAACACCAAGACCACAAGATAACCACTCACTATTACATTAACAAGGGAGGTGATTTTGTTTCCTTTCCTTCCTTTCATACCAAACACCAAACGAGAAATGACCTCTTTTTCCCTCTCCGTTTCTCACACCTAGGCTATCAACCTCTCCCTCCCACCAAGCAAGGCATTAACAATAAAAAAGAAATAAAGCGTAATTCCAATCTAAGAGCCTGTTTGATAGGAGGGAAAAGTGGAAGGGCAAAGAGGGGCGAGGGGCTTAATGGAAGGATTTTAGGACCCATGGTTGTTTGTTTATTAGGACAATTCATATGAAACACGGTAATAATAAACATAAATAAATAAAAAGGTCGTCTTCTTCCTCTCCAGTTTCCTCACCTAGGCTATATACCTTTCTTTCCTTCCTATTTTCGGGAGATTACAAAGGAGGTTCATTACAATAAAGTATAAACACTATAAATCCAATAACAAATTACATAGGGAAAGAGGCTTGTAATGTACCCATGATTCAGCACATCGGGAACCATATCCTCGTGATAATCATGATGGTGATCAGCTTCATTGGAAGAACTCTTGGACTTCTGCACATCTTCATTTGATGTCATTTCCATTAACGCTCCTATTTTAAGAATACATAAAAACGAAAACAAAATTGCGATCAGAAAAAACATAACCGCTCACACACAGTGGGGACAAGTGATAATACAGTGCGTAAAAGTCGAAAACCGAAGTTCTAGACGAAAAGAACAAATAATTGTATATGAAGGAAAATCTCATGAAAATTGAAAGCAATTGCATACAAAGATTTAGACTTGCTCATTAAAAACGAAGTTTCCGATACCAAAAATTTCTAAATTTCCTGAGAAACACAATTCTAGCTAATAGAGGAGCAAAATCTCCTGAATATGAAACGGAAGAAATCATAAAAACCTAGAAGAAGGAAAAAAAATCAAAATTTTTCCATATTCTCGTAAAATGTTGTAAGCAATCAAATGAAGCTTAAATATCGAAAATGAGAGAGAGTTTGTTTGTTTACCTGGGAAGAACCGAATCTCCGATTTGCAGAGAAACGGAACAAAGTTCTCGACTGGATTAAGATTACAGCAGTGAAACAGAAGTGAAGAGAGAAATTATTATTATATCTGATCTGGTACTTGAAGGTGTATTATGTGCTAAGAAGCATTTCTATCAGTCTTCCATTTAGATCTTGCCACGTACAATTGGAAACAAATTTAACTTGAAAAACGACAACTAGAAGGTGTAAATAGATTAAAACGACAATAAATAAGTAGAGAAAGACAGTAACATGATAAACGACAAGTGGAAGCTAAAAACATACAGAAATAGGGGTGGACAAATCATCTATTATCCATTGATTCAACTAATTCAATTCAATCCATCCACAAAGATGGAATATCCAAAGACTATTAGATCAGATTTGAATGATATTTTTACTAATCCAATTAGATTGGATTGGATGTTGAATTCAAATTTTGAAAATATAATAAAACCAATCTAATCCAATGTATTTATGTTATGAATAATCAAATATATAATTAATTATGTATATAATATGCAATAACCAAAGTTTTAGAATGCAAAAAATTATTAAAAAAACACTCGCTATTATAATGGAACAATCAAATCAACAAATTGTCTTGAAAATACATGGATTCATCATTTTGTTTGTTGTGTTTGATGGTTTTGGTTTTTATATTGGATGATAAATGGATGATGGGGACCAAATTGTCTTGAAAATATATGAATTTATCATTTTGAGCAAGTTTTATAAAATTTAATAGTTTTAATAAGTTTGATAAAAGTCTAGGCTAATCCAAGCATCCAATCCAATCAAATCAAATAGATATTCGATCGGATTAGATTAGAAGATAGCCCTACATTAAATTGGATTGATTGGATTTCAAAAGATTTATATTGTATTGAATTGGATTATGGATGGTGTGTGTGTGTGTGTGTGTGTGTGTGTGTGTGTGTGTGTGTGTATATATATATATATATATATATATATATTGGATTTGATCCAATGCCCACCTCTATACAGAAACGTTACAGTAGCATTTGCAGACGACACGACAACGAACAATTCCTAACGACAAGTCGAATTGAGTAAAGACGAAAACGACAGCACGGCAATAAATACGTAGAAACAAGATAATCTGAAATACGACATCTCGAAGAGAACAAAAAACGACAATCGATAAGTAAAAACAACATAAATTAAAAAAACGACAATGGTAATGAAAAATTAAAAACGACAACGACATTATGAAACGAAGCGACAACAAAACTAGAAACGATAACTACCGAGTCTTGACATGGTAATAGTAAAAACTAAAATGATAAGTCGAAACGAACAGAAGGAGCGACAATGAAGTTAGTAGACGACAACAATGGACGATAATAGAACTATCCATGAATGATAAAACCACAATTAATTTCTTTTTTTTTTCTTAAAAAAAAGAAGACGACAATCAATTTCAAAACGACAACAAGATGGAAAAACGACAGAAAATCTCGTTTAATTGGGAACCCAACAATAAGTTTCTATTAAATGAGAGAGAAAAGGCAAATGGCGTTGATTATATTGTCAAATATGGACTCAAATCTGTCTAATTTTTTTTTTGTCTCAATTAATATCTAACTAATTATAATGGGATACATCATTAATAAAATCTTAATATCAAAATAAGGAAAAATTCGTTAAAAAGATATTTCAATTATTGAAATGATACGACACAATCTGATTGATCAGATACCATTTTAGACAATAAAATTGGACAAGTGATTCGTATAGCCAAATATAAACAAAGCAAATAATAATTACTTAGTAAAATAAAGTCAGTCAAAAAGGGACGGCCGAAGATCAAATCTCCGATGGCTAAATCCTAAGAGACCAGTTGGGAAGTGTAATCGGTAAACTTTGTCGGCTCTAAAGCTCAAACTGTTCTCTTATGTCGCAATTTGCGACGTCTAATTTATTATGGGCATACTCAAACTTGCAGGAAAAGAAGAAAGAAAATATACAATTAACTGATTAGGAAAGAAATATTATTAGCGAATAGAAGAGGAAATTACTCATTCATTATTGTCCAACGTAAAAGATGAAGGGCAAAAAACAAAAAACAAAAAGGGAAACTGCAAATATTCCATTACTCTATTTATTCCCTTTGAGCAATTACGTGATATGACGCTAGTGCATGCGAATAGAAGAGGAAAGCTTCCTAAAAAGAAAACAGACGAATTATCGTCAAAGGTCAAACATGAGGGGAAAGGAAAAAAAAAAAAAAAAAAAAAAACAAGGAAACTGCAATATTCTACCATTACTTTCTACTCTCCCGTAATCATATAATAATGTATAATATATATATATATATATATTAATACAAGGATCTTAATTTTTAGTCTTTTGTTTACTTTTCTCTAGCAATGGACGAGAGAGTACTAGGCTTCAAGGTTTCTCGGTTGTTGAAGGTTGTGATCGTGTTAGTGGCAATGGGATTAGCCTCTCTAATCCTCTTCTCCATCCCCCCCTCGCCACATTTCTCCGTCTTCTTCGCCGCCGCCGCTCTCCACCATCACAACCACTCATCATCCTCCTCCTCCTCATCATCATCATCATCAACAAAGAGGGACTTGGACATCGGCTTTGCTGTCACCAACTTCGCCAGGGACGGCATGGTCTATGACCACATAATAGTCTCCGCCTTCCACGGCCAAGACTGCCTAGCCACCATCGCTACTCTCACGCCCTTCGAGCAGGAAGGCGGCGAGCTCACCGCTGTGTGGTTTAGGTTCTGGAACGTGACCTTGCCGCCGGTGGTCCTCCACGACATGTCGTTTGAAAATGTATCGTACGTGACGATTGAGTTGAGGGCTAAAGCTATGTACGAAGGGAAACGAGAGATTGCAATGCAAGTGATGTGCGACGATGTTAAGGTTGTTTTGGTCTCTTCGTCGAATGCCACCTGGTTTCCTACGCTTCATCACGACAATGGGGACCGGCTGAGGAAGTGCGAAGTCGACGGGATACGGAGACACCGGGAGCAATGGTTGTTTGTGGCAGTTTTTGTGGTTCCTGTTTTGCTATTTATGTTGGCTTTATATTGTGAAAATTTTATGTTCCGTCGAAATTGTGATGATTCTATGTCTCGAGACGGTTGATTGTACATAATATTGAAGCCGTGAGGTAGTAGATTAGTAAATGGAAGTTGAAAGAGCCAAGTAACGCCGTTTAAGTCAATTGTTTGAACTGTGACGTCTCAAAAACAAGAGAAAACGACAGAAGCATTCAAAACGACGATAAACTGGAAAACATACTTCCAGAAAAACGACAACTCTAAGACAATAAGTGGAAACGACTTAAAACATTATGGAAAAAACAAAGAATTAAAAACGGCAATAGAAAACGACAGAACGAGTAAATAAAAGGACAACAACCAAGACAACAATACATGAATCGCGATTCTAAAACGTGCATAACCTGAAAAACGACAAAGTAGAAGATAACAACAAAATTGTAAAACGACGATAACTAAGTAATAGTAACTTCAAACTGAAGCTACAACTCGAAGAGAAGAGCAAAAAAAGACAGCCACCCAAAAAAAAATAAAAAATAAAAAATCCAAGAACGGTAACTAATAAGCAAAACGACAACGCTATGATAAATGAAAAACATAAAAATAAAAATAATAAAAAAAAAGTGCAACACCATGGAAAACAAGTATGACATTCCAAAAACGACAATTTCAAAGGGACGATAAAGAAGACCTTCGTGGTTTGTCAGTTTGTCTTTCCATATTACTTCATCGAAATGAGCGCAAACTCCAACGTTTCACGAATCAATAGTCATTATACAGATGAACGAGGTATGTCATATTAGAGCGTGATTCTTTTTTCTTTTTTTTTTTCTTAAAAGGGAAATAATCTAGTTAACAAGTTATAGTAATAGAGATATAGAAACTGTAATGAATTAACAGACTGATTCCAAAACCATGATGAAAACATATACGTGACTAGGTATAAAGAGAGAAACACTAAAATACTGTGGGAAGGCAAATTGGCCTCTCAAGGTGTCTTCCAATATATTCCGACCACAAGCTAATTTGAAAAAATTAGCTCAAAGACGAAAAGATTTACAACGAATGCAACACGGCCTAACGTATTTAAAAAACAAAAAAGAAGAGGAGCTAGCTAACATTTATAAAACCACGACTCTGTACTCCTCAGGTCAGAACCTACTTGTCCGTGACCATCAATCATCATCACCTTGAAGGATGTTCTGATGCTTGACCGCTCAAGGAGGGGTTTGAGGAATTTGATGGAAGTGGCCCATTATCTTGAGATGGTGTTCCACCCCACTTAAGCTCAATGTCGGATGGCTCGACCACGTGTACCGTGCCATCGGTCATGCCAAGTGCGATCTGGTTAGGATCGGACGGATGAGCCGCTACGACCATAGGATAAACTGGGTTGCTGCTGCACAAGAGTGTTCATCAACTAATGTCACGACAGAGACGATGACTACATGTTCATATAGCAGGAAAAAAAATGAAAAAGACAATCTCATGCTTACCTGAGAGCAGCTGATGGCAAAAACAAAAAAAAACAAAACAAAACAAAAACAAAAAAACAAAAAGATTCTATGCTTACCTGAGAGCACCTGATGGCATGTAAGCAGAAGGAGCTATTCGACATCTGAGTCTTATGTTATCTGCGTCGAGAACGCCAATTGCGCCATCGCAAAACGCAACGTATACCATTAATCCGTCACAAGAATATATTGCACTTGAGATGGGAGCAGCAAGTGCATCTTTTGGATACCACTACAACAAATTTAAAATCCAAAATTTATTTATTTATTTTTTTTAAGTAATGACTATCAAAAGCTGTACTTCTACATTGTTATGACTTGAGAACATGAAATCTTTCTTGTAACGATACAATTTTTATAAGAAGCGTAATCTGAGCTGTGCATGAAGTTTGAGGAACACATTCGTGTCCCTTACCAATTCTCTGCTATGATTACGTCGTAGAATAACAATTTCAACTCATACACACAAATCTACTGTCAGCAATAAAAGACGCCAACAATAATTGGAAAATAAATCCTTTTTCCACGTACCTTGTTAGATATTCAGAAAAAAAAAAAAAAAAAAAAAAGAGCACCCATGAGTGTGACAGAAGTGCTTAAGTAGATAACTTACCGAGCGTAAGCATTCAAGCTTGCCATCATACACGCCAATCTGGCTTTCATGGGTAACCAACAGATGCGTTTGATCATTGTGAAACTGAACTTTAGTTTCTCCAGACAACGGAGACTGCCAACCAACTGGTGCTTGTATGAATCTCGTCTTCTTTTTCTCCCATCCGTCTATGCTCCACATGCATAACTATAATGATCGAAATAAAAACCACAGACTAAAACTTGGAAAGCCAGAAGGCAAGTAAATTCAGTTGAAATCTGAGGTAATAACAATTCTTCCAAGGATAAAAATTTTGCTGAAAAGCTCTTTTTTTCCAAAGCATGATTCAACATAATTACAATCCAACTCAAACCATAAATCTTTTGAAACTTAAAACATTTGAATTGGGATCACAAGGGACAACAACCACAACAACAACAAATACAAGACTTAATCCCAAATTAATTTTGGTTGGCTATATAGATTTCTCGTTTCCAGTCTGCTCTATTAAACACGAGACCCTCTTGAAGCCTTAGATCTTGAAAGTCGTGTCTAACTACGTCAGCCCAAGTAATTCTTGGTCTACCCCTCGCTCTCCTAGTACTAGGTATTTGGATGTTCTCCCAAGCACGAATAGGTGCATCTAACGATCTACGTTGTACGTGCCCGTACCACCTCAGATGGTTTTCCCGCACCTTATCTTCTATTGGTGCTACACCTACTTTACTACGAATAACTTCATTCCGTATGCAATCCATCCTCATATGACCACTCATCTAAGGGAAAGGAACATTTAAATTAAATAAAATAAATAGTTAAATTCGAGGACTTTGTGGTGAAAAGAACAGAAATCCATATACTATGAAAACTAAACAGAATAAACATTTCTGCTTTAACTTCATCCAGAAGAACAACTGCATTGCTCTTGAGGATGGCCAATGGCTCCTTTACTCGTGGTCATTGTGGATATTATGTTTAATTATAAATTCAATGAGCCACTAACCTGAGCATCAGCGCCCGAAGAAACCAGCACATTAAGAGTTTGAGAAAATGCAAGACCTGTAATCCGAGTCTGATGGCCTTTAAGTTTCGTTTTGACCTGTCAAATCTCCCAAGATCAGTTTTCACAGGATAATCAGAAACCATTTGATGCACGCTTAACTGATTAGAACACGTCTAACAGATTAAGTTAGAACTTGGATGTGTAAATATTACTCGTACAGACAAATTTGCTGATTATCGACTAACTTCAAAGCCATACCACAATGGCATTAAACACACATTTATGAGGTCAAACTATAATCTTAAGGGTCCACCTGCAAGTTTTAAAAAGTAAAAGGAACCCGGTAGCCTCACTCCAATGAAATACACATACAAAATATACGATACCAAAAGAGATGCTTTACCTCATCAACCCTAACATTATATATTTGAATAGTCGAATCCTCCATGCCAATGGCAACTATATTATTATCTTGGGGATGAAATGCCAAAAATGTCGCCGCAGGAGGTGGAGGCATAAATGTTGTCATGACCTGAAAAGGTAGCCAGTTTTAGTCATACAACTCATTCATGGAAATTGAGCCAATTATAGGTAGGCGTCAATTTGATTAGAAAAGTTGGTAACATTCAAGTTTTCACGAGAATAGATTCCAAACAAAATTTACAACCTTAAAGGTCATCATGTTGAACAACGAAACCTTCCCACCAGAGGCAGACATGACATAAGAATCATTTTTAGATAAAGCAATGCATGCAGCAGATTCCTCAGGTGGTTTACTGTCATTTATGTCATTGGTCATAAGCGTCCCATTGGGAGGCTGCCACAACTGTGGAGTGACATAAGCCGTAGCCTGAGGGGAGAAACAAAAAAGGAAAGAGAGTTCGAAAGTTAATAGAAAGACCAAAAAGTTAAATAAGAAATGCATATTTGCATGTTATGAAAACGGACATCATACCTTTCCTGATGGATTCCTATCGCTACGGTGCCATTTCCATAGCTTGTGAACAGCATTAGCAGTTAGAGCCAACAAAGTAAGGCCATTATTAGTGTACATAAGTCTCACAACCTGAAATTCGGAATTGATACTTTCTCAGTTCTGGTATTATAGACTCATAAACACACAAGTAAGTTTTTCCAACTGCCTTCTCTAATGTGCATGCGCACGAAGATGTTCGTAATTAATGGAGACAAAATCAATTAACAAGGCCGCATTTTCACTAGGCCAAAAAATACACCATTCATCTCAACGACATAGATAAGTCAGCTTGGAGAAGGAGGAGGGAGGAAGGGAGAGAAAAAAGAGCTGAAAACGGAGGTAGAAACAGAATACATCTATTTCTCATACCTATGAAAGCTAATATTAGCAGCGCTTTCTCCTATATTAAGCAAAGTATACAACAATGATACCCACCTTAGCAGCAGTTCCAGAATCTGGCAATCGCAAAGGTTTTAGTAGAGATGGATCTCCAATATCAGGAATCTTCCAGCTCTTAATCTTGTCTATATCATCGGAGATCCGTGGTTTAACATCAACAAGCCTGCTATTTTCCACAGGACTCTGCAGTTACAACTAATATAAGATTGTGAACAAGCGTGAACTAACAATTTCATACATTTTAAGAAGCTGAACTTACAAGGCCACTGATAGACACAGCAGGCGGTATAATGTTCGAACGCTCTAGGGTAGGACCAACAGCAGAAGAAACATTCGCCACTGGGCCTAGTGCATTAACAATTAGTGGCTGCAACACAAACAAAAATGTTTTCAATAAAAGAATCCATTGGCAAATTCATGAAGAATTAAGGATCTGAACAGCGCCTTCATGCCATTTACTTAAGTAGGCTACATTATATTTCCATGCAAAGTTTGCAAACAACAACAAAAGTTGGTAAACAAATAGAGAACAGAAACTACCTTGGAATTAGTAGGCTCAGAAGGACCTCGATTCTTATCCATAGCCCTGCCCTCCAGCATCCTTATCAAGCGTATACCATCATTGTTGGCTAAAATCTTAATACCATTCTCATTAGTAGTGACTGCCAACAACGACCCTTCTTTGTTAAACCTTAGTCTAGGACTTGCCTGCAAATAGGAAAATAGACGACACTCATTGAACATCCAACTCTTCCTACTCACGTACTTTTAGCAAAATGTGAAGGATAGAAGTGCTAACAGGTAAACCGCCATCTGCATCAACAGCTGTTAACATAGTGGTACTGTCCATATCCCAGAACTTAATTTGAAATTCATCGCCAGCAGCTAAGAATCGGTTTCTTGTTGTGTCAAACTGGACAACACCTAAAGATCTCTTCCTGAAACCAGAATATGTACGTTTGATAGCTCCTTCACTTTCATTCCACTCTACAAGATGAGATTCACCCTCCTTGCTTGTTCCACATGAGAAAAGCCTGCCAGTAAAAGAATACATAGTTTTATGAAAATTTTCTTTTCATCATTAATTTGGATATAAATGTAAGTTTGCGAACACATTTCAATATAAATTAAAAATTTATCCATCTCCATTATACATATCTATGTCATTCAAGAGAGTACGAATTTCATATCTAACTAGGAAATCGAAAATAGACCATATTAAATGGCAATAACTTAAAAGGAATGAGAAGGTTGTGAAAAAAATTGCATTCTTAGTTGGACAAAATCAACGTCATAAGTGGAGAAAGAGTTCAAACTAGGAACATAATCTATTCAGCTTTATGCATCATATAAAAGATTCCTAGAATAAATAAAATGAAATACAAGAATGTGTTAAATAAAGCATCTCCCCTTTATCTTCTCTAGAATAGGTAACCTTTACCTGGTTCCATCTGCGCTATACGCCATCATGGTGCACCAAAGTCCAGGAGCATCATAGTCCACTCTTGATCCCAAGCAATCATAAAGCCAGGCTTTAATCTTCCCATCAATAGCAGTAGAAAAAATAAACTGTGTACGTAGTGTAATTGAGATCTAAAGTCAGAAGCTAACTTTTGTTTTAAGATATCAGATGGCTGTACTCCAATGAAAAGCCAACTTATTAAAGTGTTCAAAAGCTTATAACCAGATCCATATAAGATACCTGGATATTTTCTTTGTAATGAGGACAAACAGAATATACTGGAGCCTCATGACCTTCAAATGTATAGAGTCTGCGTCCAGCTACAGCATCCCATACCTGTTGTACAGCAACTTTAGAAAGCCCCCAGATTTATAAAATAAAAATAAAAAAAGACCCAGTTGAGGGTTGCAACCAATGAAATACCTTAATAAGCTTATCATCTCCGCATGTAATGACGCAAAGTTGCTTGTTAGGATGAGCAAATGCAATATCATTAACACCACCCACATGAGCATCAATCTAAAAGATGAGACACCGAGTCAATCACCAATACTTACTACTACCAACAAATATCGTATTTTCAAAGGCATGAGATTTACCTCCATATGTTGCCTCATTTCCCCAGTTGGATTGTAAGTATAAAGCTGAACAATGTGCTTTGAAAATGCAACACCTGATCAATGCAAACGCAATAAGGGCACAACACAACCAATATTATCCAACAATAATACATTGAAAAATTTTGGCCTAGACTACAATATTTACATACCAAGCATGAGCCCATCTGGCCCCCAAACACACCGATTCACCGATATTGCAGCATCATTCAACAAAGCCGACTGTTAGCAGAGCCAAGACGAAAGTAAATCAGAACATGCCAGTATCACAATATAACAATGAAGGGAGCCTACGTTCACCAGGACTAGGACTGACCGGGTTTGAAGGTATGGAATAGGGCTAGCACATATAGTATCTCATAATTTAGTTTATCCAAAAACATTTCGATATAAAACTTTGTAATGTTTCAAGAAAAACAGAAAACAAGTGGTACCTGCAATGGCATCGAAGCAGCTTGTATGTCCCAAACCTTGAAAAGTTTATGAACCAACCTCTCCCGCGACCCAACTTCCCAAAGGCTAATCTCACCAACATTTGTGCCAACTGAAAAGAAAAAATAAAAAGCTCAACAAACAATTTCACAAAATAAACTCCTTGGGGGAATCATACTCACGCTCACAAACCTAGGAGTATAGTTTGTTGTTGTGGATGAAAATCCATGCTCATAACATTAGATCCTTGACTAAGAGTCCGCAAAACAGTTTTGGGAATGTCGTCTTGTGAATAGGCATTCGAATGCATTACAGCAGAAAATGATACCTATAAAAACCAACAGTGAGTGTATTTCCTCCATTTGTTTCTTGTATTTCTCTTTTTTCTTTAGCTGGGAAGCGCACATTCAACCAAAATGATTACCATGACATACTTGCAATAGATACTAGGCATGATAATTAAACTTGGACTTAGAAAATACATAAATGTTCTCTTCCTCACCTCCTCCGATGGGCCAGTGCGAATACGCTTTATCAAGTGCTCCGAATCAGCTGACTGATAATCCATCCCTGTAACACCTGTAGGAGTCCTTGGATGTTTCAAGAATGCAGCTGCATACATAGAATATGAAGAAGGTTCCATAAGATTCAAACTAAGTCAGTAAAAGCCCGCATTCAAACTTAGTTATAGAAATTTTTACCTGTACTAGAAGGCTGGACTAGACCCGGAGGGGCTGCTGCCACAGCAGGGGGAGGCAAAGATGGATTTGTGGTCGACATCCAACCAGCAATAGCACTGGGAGATGGGGAGACAACGGGCTGAAAGGGCTGCACAGCATAAAGAATTATTGCACGTATTATGAGAGCATTGCAAGTCATTTTTTAGTCCGAGAGACAGAGAAAGAGAGAGATTGAAGGAATGCAGCCTTACACTTACACCATGGGCACCAATAGGAGGAAATGCACCAGCCTTGGGAATTGGCCCCACAAGGGGGTTGTTTGTAGGAGGAGGACGGGATCCATTAGCAGTTGGATTGCAAGAATGATCCGTAAAAAGTGTTTTTATATCGGGGTTTGGACGAGGATTCTTGCAGAGTTGATGCTGCCAATTTAAACTGAAACGATCAAACAGCTAAGTGAACTTCAACGAAACAGGGCAAACCAACATCAGGTAAATAGTACAAACTGAGACAATTCTGTTGGCAAAAGAGGATGACAAAAAAAAAAAAGTGTAGAAAAATGTAAAAGAGGCAGAGTTGAACATGAATGAATATAGAGGGCAATAAATATCCCAAAATTACGAATCACCTCTGGTTTATTAACGTCCTTAGACGTGAACTTTTGAAGGCTGGGAATGCAAGCTTATCGCGAAATAAGGGGTTTGCTTCAATTAGCTTCTTAAGTTCTATAAGCATGATATTTCGAGCTGATTTCGTGTCTCCATACTTTGAAAGCTGTTCATTTTGCCTGGTTATATGATAAGACAGCAAAAATAAATAAAAACCAAAGAGCAGATCATCACAACTAACCCATGGAGAACTTGCATTATGTATATACCTAAAGTTATCAAGTGTAAGCAACTGTGTAATCTCCTTGAAAAGATCCTCATTGAAAGATGAAAAAACCTTGAGATCTTTCACAAGAATCTCAACGGCTTTGGCCCTGTCCTGCCTGATAGCGACGAAGAAAAAAATTGTATTAATAGATGTCAAAAGGATGGGCAAATAACACATATATATTCAACGACACTTGGCTACTGGAAACCAACATAACTCAGATCCCGTTCTTGAACTCAGCAAAATAACTTAAAGCATTCAATTTTGAGTTCTGAAATGCCTTCAAATCAACAGTTGTTACAGGACTTGCATACGGTCAGAAATCTTAAAAGTAAAATGTCTGTCAGGATGCCAAGAATCATAATTTCAAATCTCACCTATCAAGAGCTTCCAAATACTTCTGTTTCCTAATTTCAAAGAAAATCTTCATTGAGTACCGATTGTCTTCAACCTTCGTGAATCCACATAAATAGCGCTCAACTTCATCCCACTCTCCAGCCTGGACTTGATCCTCAAAATGTTTCATATTGAAGAAGAAACCGGACTCTTGCTCTAACCTAAGTTCCAGAATTAAGAAGACACAGCATTAAAAATCTGTTCAGCCTCCATTTTGTTTCTCATGAGGGCAAGAAAAAACATAGAACCAACATAATATATGACAAGCAAATGCAAATTTCTTATCACTCTTATTTGCTGAGTTGGCTGCAAATTTGCTTTATGATGCTAAATAAATTGTAAGACAAAGGCTACACAAACATTCCTGGAATAAAGATAAAATTTAAGAAAACTTTACTCTCAAGAAACCATTTAAGCTAGCACACAAATCCAAACCAAGTCTAGTAAAATTATCATTTTGCTCGTTTTAAAAAAAAAAAAAAAAACCCTTAAAGCAACCCTGTCAATTACTAAAAACCATCAGCTTTAAAAACAAATTCAAAGTTTTTTTATAATCATTTTCTTCCCAAAGTTTCGCACAACTTCAATGAGCTGAATTCGCAGCAAATTTGTTTTAGAATTCTAAATAAGTGCAAAGAAAATGCTACAAAAGAGTAAAGACAATTCCCGACATGAAGGTAAGATTTTCTCTTCTTTTTCTATTCGGATCCATGAAGAGAAAACTATACAAATTCGGACCAATTCTGGTAAATTTATTATATTGCTCATTATGGAAATGGGACCAAAAAAAAAAAGACGAAACAAATCCTTCTAAGTGCTAATAATCATTATTTATAAAACAAAAGAAGTTTATTACAATCATTTCTTCCCAAACAAAACAACCACAAGAAGAACAAACTTACTTATGAACCGTTTCCTTGAACTTCTCCTCGTCCAAGAACTGTAAGATCAGGAATACCAATTCCCTACTTAACGAAGACATTGTCCCCGGTACTAATAATCGCTCCAGTGCAAAAGATCCTTTTTTCAAATTCACCAAAATCAAATCCAAATGCGACTTCTCTAAAACACTTCCTCGGACCAAAAAGGAAAAAACTTCGTCAGAATGTGCCAAAAATTCAGTATCCAAGAACAATTTCCTCTTGCCTCTCTTTTCGTACAAAATTTATGCGTCAAAGCTTCACTATGAAATATGAATCGCAAAAAGTCGAGCTTGAGGAGCAAAAACGATGGGATTCAAGACAGCAAATTTAGGGCTTTCAGATTCAACAACTCGAATTCACAGAGCATGGAATGAATCTAATCTCCTTCTCCTTCCTTCCTCCGAGATCGAAAACACACACGAATCAATAATATTATTCCTCACAATCACAGAGCACCGGAGGAGGACGAGAAAATGCGCATTTCTAGGGTTAGGGTTTTTCCGAACCGAACTGAACCTCTTCTTCTCTTTATTCCTTTTCTCACTTTTTTCTCTCTTTTTTGCTTCTCTCTCTCTCTCTCTCTCTCTCTCTCTCTGTCTCGCAGCAAACTCTGTGCACCAACAACAACCCTCCACTCTCTCTCTCTCTCTCTCTCTCTCTCTCTCTCTCTCTGTATCGTTTTATACTTTTTTCTCTCTCTACATGACAAAGACAAAAGGTTCTGCTGTTGCCTGTTTCTGCTTTTCCTTCCCCTCTATTATTATATATATCTGTATATATATATATTTCTGTCCTTACATACACAGATATATATAGGTGTATATATATGTATATACTGTATCTGCCTTCATAACTCTTCCTAACTTTGAGCTTTCTCTTTCCTTTTCTATCCCTATATATAAATATAGGAAAATAATAATAATAATAATAATATAAATTATTATTATTATGTACTTTCTCTGTCTTTCTCTCTCTACCTGATTTTCTCGCACTACTGTAGACTTGACTACCCATCCTCGTCCTTGAGACTCTGTAACAAAACAAAACCCTAGACTACTGGAAACGGCTACCCTGTGGTAACCTCCATTTTCACTCCATGGACTCGTCCTCTTATTGGCCAGATAACTATCGTGTCGGGAGGAAAAAATGTATTATTCTTTGCCGCCTCAAAATAAATTGACAACATGTGTCAAAAAAGATGTATTATTCTTTGCCCCCTCAAAATAAAAATAATTCATTTGTGAATTTAGAACGTGATAGTATTTTGAATTAGACCCAACTACTTTGTAATATAGTTTTGGTTCATAATATTTGAATTATAATTCAATATTTTCTTTTATAAAAAATTAAAACAAAAATTTCATTTATAAAAATTTGAAAGAAAATATGTCTTTTAGATTGTGTTCATTTACATAACTCAAATTATGACTTGAGTTCTGTATGTAAAAGAAAAATATTGTATGAGATAAAATATTGTAGCAATATAATTTGAGTCATGATTTGAGTTATGAAATAAACAATGTCTTAGTATTATATAAAAATATTCTATTATTTTAAATAGAAAAAATTCTATCAGTAATATAATGTCTTTGCATATTAAATTATAATTATTCATTTATTATTGACTTTTAAATTGTAACTGTACTTTTATCAAAATATATCAATTTAAATAAATTAAAAACACAAAGGATAAAATTAAATACAAAAAACGATATTGATTTCACGTTGATTTTTTAGTCACTTCTAAACAAAATTTTTTTATTTTAATGTGACGACGATTTAAAATTATAGTTTAAAGTTCTTTTTATATATTGGAACGTGAATTTTATATTGAGATTCATATATGTCTTAAAAAATGTCTAATAAAACACATTATCTTCACACCATAAATAGATATAAAAGCACGTAAAAATCAATCAAAAAGTATTTTACATTTTTAAATAACTTAAATAATATGATTGGTTAAACCATAATTAAATAAAAATTTAAGTCCTTCACACCGTGAATTATTCTATATTCATGAAAAGAAAATGATAAGAGTTGTATATTTAGTGGCACTGGCACACATTTTAGATTATGAACATTAACTTGTCTTTTTGTCACGAGAGAATATATGATTGTGTTTGGAGTTGTTTTTGTTTTTCACATTTTTTGAGAAAAAAAAAATAAAAACGGGAGAGAAATGACGTTTGGCACAATTAAAAATAAAAAATGAAAATGAAAATGATTTTTTAGTTTAGTGTAAAATGGGAGAGAAATATTAAACGATTTTTAGTCATTTTTCATTTTTTATTTATGTTTTCTCCTCTCTCGAGCAAAGAATTTTTTTATACTGAAAACAATCTCTAGATAAAACTACCAAAGGCATTTTTAGAAATGATTTCTGTCCGAGATTAAAAACGTTTTCATTTCTATTTTCATACAAAAAATAAAATCATTTTAGAATGAATTCCAAACGCACCTTATAGTTTTTTTAGATTTAAACTGCCACTAAGCTTTACAAATAAATTACTAAATATAGAAACAAAAAACTTCAACAGAATATCCACTAGTTACATATTTATACCGCCTCTATTGCTGCCGAAAGTCTTAAAAAATCTTTAAAATATTTCTTTATGGAATATTACAGATTAATTAATTGGTAATAACTTTTCTTTTAAAGGGAAATTTCATTTATACTAATTAAAGTAATATAATGTGAATGAGCTTGCAGTATAAGGCATAACTCTAAACTGAGATCGGTTCTTCCGATACAAATCTAATTACGCTCAATAGATAATATATATGCTAGAGGCTCGAAACCAAAAAATATCTTGATACACTAAAAATGAGCTCACATAAAGTTTTTTTTTTTTTTTTTTTTACTAAAATCCTACAATTGATAGAAATTTTCGATTGATTGAATTTAGCAAACATGCCACTACATAGACTTCATATTAGAGAACAAAACAAAGACTCAAAAGGTGGGAATATGGCCTTTATTATTACAATGAAGGGTCGGTAAAATAATGAAAATATGCTAAATCTAAACAATAAAAGTATCATTATTTTTATTTGACATGCACAAAACTTAAAACAAAAGGATAAAATCCAAATGACAACGATGAAAACTCTGGCGACGAGTCGGCCACCGTTGAGATATGCGAGGAACCTACAAAATTACTGGCAAACAAAGGAAATTTGAAAAGAAAATAGGCCTCTGACGCAAGAGAACCACAAGTTGCCACCCGCCTCCACTAATTAGGGAGGGTGCCGCACGGATCTGTGCCACATAGACCAAAGTCCTCAAAGAGAAAATAACTCTGAACACCAACATGCTGACAGCCCACAGTGAGAGATGACGCCTCTCCACCATCTCCTCATGACAAACAACAAATTTGTCTGGGCTTCCGGGATACAGGCTCCCAGATGCGGCCAAAAATAGTAGGCAAGCGCATCGAAACCCTCCCTCCAAGCATTGTTGCTCCTTTCAAAATGTGAGCACGTCGAATAATCCCCCAGAGCAACTCTCTTCATATCGCTTGGGCACCCTCTCATAGAGCTGAAAGCTTGGAGACCAGCCCATATGCGGCGCCAGACTTAAATGGTAATGGTTATAGCTTTTCTAGTCAAAAACTTAATTTTACCTCTAAATATATAGAATTTTCTGGTAAGTTGGAGAGAGGAAAAAAAATATAGGCCGTTTGATTCATATACTAAAACTTAAATTATTAATTTTATTATAGTGTTATCCTCTCATAAAAATTTAAATTTTAAATATCATAATTAAGAATCATCATTTAAATATATATTCCAAACGAGTCCTATACTAACCGATCGAATTCTAAACATCAATCTATTAATTTTTAAAAATTGAATGTAATTCTATTGTAGTGTGATTTCATAATTGAAAATTACGTCATATTCAACATTTGTTTTTTCTTTGTCACCTTTTTAAATAAATATAAATAATAGACGTTAGGAAAAATGTCACGCTTGAGTACTTTCACCGGCCATTTTTGGAATTTGACAAATAATATGAATAACGAGCGTAAGGACGCCCTAACGGTAACATTACTCATGCGGCTGACAAATTTTTAACATAATTGAGCAGAATTCAGAGAGAGTAATTTTTTTTATAATAAAAGAAAAAAAAAGAGAGAAAAGAAATGAGAGAGAGTTTCATGGGAAATTGAGCCCTGTTAGGTCAGTAGTCAGTTCAGCACTTGTGGACCATTTATTTTCCTATTTCTTGCCATCTACTTATTTATTCCTGTTACAGAAGGAAAAAGAATGAATAAATAAAAATCACATACATGATAACTTTTTAATTAAAAATATTATTGATTATTACGAACTATGGTTGACGGTAGTGTATTAAAATTGGTATCTAATGGTGTAGTAAGAGCTAATAATTTTTCATTTTTTTAAAAAAAGAGCTAACAATTTTGGGCTTGTTATATATATATATCATTCTATATGTGTCGTTATTTTTATAAACAACATTACAATTGAATTAGACCAAGTAGGATTGAGAAAGACACCTTTGACAGAAATCAGCTACAAATAGTTATTGCTACATGTAAGTAATAAATAAATGAATAGGACCCAAGTATAGAAATCATATTAGTTTGGATTTATTTGTCAATTCTTTGTGATACATTCATGTTGAGAGTAGGCATGAGTAAAATGACGAGTTTGGGTCATGACAATTTTCTTCATTCCCCATCTCATTAGATCATCTCCAACAATATTATAATAGATATGTTAATTACCAATTAAAAAAGAAAAAGTTATGGGACGTTTGTTTCATATATTAATCATTGATTCTGAATTATGATTCATGGTTTTTTACAGTATTTTCTCTCATAAAAAATACACATAAAATGAAAATAATTCTGAAGTATGAATCTGAATACATAAACCAAACGTTTTCTTAATTTTCTAGAGATTGGAATCTAGATCAAATTATTGACCTTTAAGGTAGACATTAATTTAATTATACGTGTCCATTTATACGCAATCGATGTGTTTTTGCTTCAATTGTCAATATCAAAGATAGATATTGAAGTTGTAATTTGTAAACAGTTTGATAGGCTGTTAAACGTTTATTCATAGTAGATATTAAATTAATTAATTAGTTGCTTTAGTCAAGTTCCAAATTTCAATATCTAATATAGTACAATGATTTGGCATACGTTCTATTTAAAGATGACAGCATTTTTTTTTTCTTTGGAAACTTGAATACGACTGGGGAAAAAAAATCTTAGATGGCACGATATCAAATTTGTTTGGTGCTTTCCAACTGAAGATTTTAGACGTTTATTAGTTTAAAATTAAGAAGATTCTTCGTGAAATATATATTATTTGCTTGACTAGTATTATTTACGTTTGAGAGGGACGTTTTTACAATATCCAATCCAATAGGTCTTGTGTGCGTCATCATCAAGCAAATAAAAAAACAAAGAAAAAAAACTTTATGGTAAGCATTGTTTACGGTCCTGTTTAATAACGTTTTAAAAATGATTTTATTTTTAATACAAAAGTAAAAAATGAAAATTATTTTGAGAATTATTATGCGACTGATTTTAAAATTACATTTGGTTGATTTTTTAAGAGATTATTTTGAGTATAATAAAAAAGTGAAATCGTATTTGGTTATAATTATTAATTAATATATTATAACATTGTTGATAAGTACTAGAAAATGAAAACAGAAAAGAGAAAAAAACTTTCAAACATTTTCTAATTCATTCATAAAAACTATTCTCATAATTTTTTATTTTTTTCAATTTGTTTTCAAAATATTTGCTAAACAAATACGATTTGAAGACTTTTTTCATTTTCGTGTCTCAAAAGGTGTGTAAAAACATTTTTAAAAACAAGTAAAA